GGTCCTGGGTCCTGGGTCTTGAGTCCTGGATCCAGACTCTGGGTTTAGGGTCCTGGTCCTCCACCTAGGCTCTTGGGTCTGGAGTCTGGATTCAAGTTCTGGGTTTGGCATCCTGGGTTTGAAAGTCTGGGTCCCCGGAGTGCGGTCAGGTTGCAGGTTCTAAGCTGGGGGTTCAGATCCTGAGACCTGAGTCTGGAGTCTGGGTTTGGAGTTCCAGGTTCCAGGTCTGGAGTCTGGGTTCTGGGCTGGGATCCTGGGTTCTGGGGTTTGGGTTTGGATCCAAAGGCTGGTTTCTATCCCTTTTACGCCCCCTGCTGGCTGCTGCTCATGGTCAAGTCGCTGCTGAGACCATGGAGTCACCTGGCCTTTTCAGGCTACTGAGAAGACCCTCAGCCAGGGGGTGGGAGTGGCAGGCAGAGCAGGCCTGGGTTGAGGTGGCAGCAGCTGTTGGCTGCCCTGCTGTCCCGGGGTGCCCCTTGCAATGACCCAGGCTCTAGCTGGTCTGCCAGCAACCCCCGCCCCCCAGTCTCTCCTGACCCCATGCCATGGATAGCGTTTGGCAATGGGTCCCAGTCCCCCTGTGAGAAATGGGTAAGTTGAGATGTTTGGGACATTTGCTCATCCCACACTCATTGAGTGCCTCCTGTGAACTGGGCTCTGCTGGAGACTCTGGGGATATATAGATGCGGGACAGCAAAAACTCCTCCATGCTGGCTGACACTCATGGGATGGAGGGCATCCACAGGAGAAACAAGATAACAAAGAAACAGATTCGTTTCAGGGTGCACAGCGATGGAGAGTCAGGGTGAGAGAAAGGGCAGAGGGAACAGGTCCAGGGTCGTCTGAAGAGGCTTCTCAGAGGAGGTGACATATCCCCGAGACCAGGGGGTGACCAGGAGCAAGCCATGGCCAGGGTCCCAGCCAAGGGTATGAGGGGAGGAAACAGCCTATGCAAAGGTATCAGGGCTGGAAATAACCTAGAAGGAGGCCAGTGGGGCCAAGTGTCTTCTGCCTCTATCCATGGGCCCCTCAGAAGTCAGGGCCCACATCTTTCCCAGTATTCTCCTTGGCTGGGGAGATGGGGGGGCGCTCTGGAATGTGGGACTTGGGAGTCTGCATCAGACTGGGTCACCACTCAGACGTTGGAGTTGGAGGAACCAAAGGGGTAGTAGTATCCCGACCCCTACCCCTGTCCCCAGGCTCTCCAGACCCCTCAGGCCCTGCCTGGATCTTGCCTGCTGGCTGTCATTCCTGAGGGGCACAGAGCTCAGGCTGGGGCTTGGGGGAGAGAGGAGAGCCAAGCCTTAGTGTGGCCCACCCTTACCGCCCACTGACCGCCCCTCCCTCTTATAACACCCCGCCCCCTGCTCAGCCCCTGCCTTGCCTCTGGCCTCAACAGCCTAGCCTGCTGGCTGTAGACAGGGCTGACCTCGGCAGAGCCCCTGCTGGGGGCTGGGGGCTAGTTCTAGCTTAAGAGTGCTCCCAGGAGCCCCAACCCCAGCCCCTCCATCTGAGCCCTGGGGAGGGAGTGGATGATGGCTTTGTGCACCGTGTCCCCACTGCAGGACCGCATCTGCCCTGTGCACGAGGGAAGGGGACCGAGACCCCCTCCCCGCCCCCCAGCCACGCTCCCCCAGGCAGAGGAGGTGGTGCTGTGTGATTCTGACTGGCTGCGTGAGCCTGCCCACCCCATAGCACAGACCTGGCGGCTGAGGCTCGGGAGCCCCATGTCACTCACCTGCCCCGGTTCAGGCTGGTGTTGGGTGGTTTCTGAGGCATGGCAGTTATGTGTGGATGAAAGAAATGAGATCAGAAGTCTGGGTGACCCTGAGTATGTCCTCTGCCCTGGGCCTCGGTTTCACCCATGATGAATGAAAGGGGATTGGGTAATGCCTTGGCTGTGCCTGTGGGTGGCCGGAGTCCCCATGAGGGCCAGTGGGCCTGGGCAATGGGGCTGCCCAGATGCCTTTCTCTGTGTGTCCCCCTCTGGCTGTGTTCTCTTGTGGTATTTCTGGCTCGTCTCTGTGGACCCTCCCCCCACCCCTTTTTTTCTCAATACTCTTGCCAAACATCTGGAAGGAAAGTGAAAAACTTGCCTCCCCCCCAGCACCGGATGTTGTCAGATTTCCAGATGTGGGGTGTTCTGCCCTCCAGATGAGGGGAGGAATGTTCTGTGTTTCAGCTAGGAGGGGGCCCGGACCCCATCTCTCGACTGCTGTCCCCCTCTCCATGAGGAGGAGTGATAAGATCAGAGAGACCTGGGCTCAGCAGGAAGACAGTGCGGGGACTCCAGGTAGAGTCCCCCTCCCCCCGTAAATCCTGCCTCAGGCTCTGGCCCCAGCCCCTCTCCACACCCAGGAATTCCTCCCAGGGCCTGGAGAGGGGGGGCATTGCCTCTGAAGTTTCTATCAAAGGCTCCAGGCACTTAAAAATAACAAGGAGCACCTCCTTCCCACCCCCGGCACAGACGCCCAGGAGAGGAAGGGAGCCCAATGTGCTTGCAAGATGTCCTTACTCTCAGAAGTAAGGACGTTTGCCCAGAGGGGCCTCATGCCACCTCAGCCTTCCCACCTCCCTGACTTTCCCAAATGGTGGCCTGGCCAGGCTGCCCTCGGTCACTGCCATCTGCTGAGGGCTGGGCAATGGGGTGGGCACCAGGGGGAAAACCTCGCTCAGCTCCCTGAGGTCCCTCAGAGACGCAGACCCTCCCCCAGCACCCCTCCCCCCCCCCCCCCGAAAAGGACCAGCAGGGGCAAGCGTGGGTCCGTGGGACACAGACAAGGAGCTTCCAGGGAGAGGGGGTTGTGGGGCCTGGAATGCGCCAAGCAGAGGAGGGGCAAGGGCACCCCTGCAAACGGGGCAGGGGGTATGGGGGTCTGGCGAGGGCCGGCCCTGAGCTGTGTGGATAAAGTGGGCCACAGGCCGGTGCAGGGAAGAGAGGAGATAGGAAGTGGGGTGAAATGGAGGAGCTAGCGGCAGGGCCAGCCGGTGCAGGTGAAGGGGGCTGTGGGGGCCGCTAGGCTCCCCGGCTGGGCTGGGTGGCTGTGCCCTCGGGGGAGTGGGACCCATTCCATTGCCCCTGGCGGTGTTTCTGGGGCCCCTCAGGCTGGGGCTGCAGCTGCCTGCGAGCCGTGACCAGACCCTCACACACAGATACATATAAACACCCAGCCGCAAACACACGGAAACGGCACTCACAGACACACGCACGGAGGCACGGAGACACACACAAACACGTGCGTGCGTATAAACACCCAGACGCAGACCCGCCGAGCCGACACACAGACAGGCATGGGCCGTCGCCCCCAGACACACAGATGAAGCACACAAGGACCCCCCCAGATGTGAAGACACCTAGACAGTACGCTGATACACACAGATGCTCCCGCCGTAGATAAACAGACATACGCAGAGTCCCCCTCCCCTGCCATGGACCCAGACATGTGGGAATTCGATGCACAGCCGGGAAGTTTAACTCAGGAGGTGCCCTTGGGTAATCACAGTCCTGGCGCATGCTTGGTCCAGCCTCTGGTCCTGTTCGATTTGTCACCTGCTGAGGGTCGCTGTGCCGATGCGTGCGTGTGCATTGGAGGGTGAGTGTGCGTTGAGCCGTGGCCTCAGTCCTCTGCTCCCCCTCCCCCTCCCCAACAGGTGATTGGGAGGAATGAGAGCCCTCCCTCTCCCCCACCCATTCCTGAGCCTGAACAATGCCCTCCCCGGGCCCCAAAATAGCCCCTGAGCTTAGCCAATGTCCTTTTATGGCCCTGTCCCTATTGTGCACTGGGGGGGTGGGGCTGGGGTCAGGAGGTGTCCGGACAGGATAAAGGCCAGGCCCCGGAGCCTCACCTACCCTGCTCTCTGCTTCCCTCTGTCCCTGTCCCTCTCCGTGCTTACAGCTTCCATGGCCCCCAAAAAGCCAGACCCCAAGAAGGACGACAAGGCAGCCTCCAAGGCAGCTCCCGCTCCCGCTCCGGCGCCTGCACCTGCGCCTGCGCCTGAGCCCCCCAAGGAACCTGAGTTTGATGGCTCCAAAATCAAGGTGGGTGTGGGGGCTGGGTTTGAGCAGGAAAGGCAGGGCAGGTAAGTGGATCCTGGAGTGGACCTACCCAGAAAGCGAGGGCTGGGCTGAGGTTGGAAGCGTCTGTGCAGAGGTCAGACAAGCTCCCGGGAGGGGGGGGCTTCAGGCATCAGGAGGGCTGCAGCAGGAGGGCTGGTGGTCAGACATCAGGCAGGACTCCCCCAGGGCTACTGAAGGGAAAGTCTTTGGGTGGTTTTGGAAACTGTCCCTTGCCCTTCTCCCTGGACCTCACATTCTTGGGGAATCCTGGAGCCGCCCGGACCCCAACCCCTGCAGCCAGATAGAGATCTTCCTTGTTCCGCTGTGGGGTGTCAGGTCCATGCCAAGCCCCCCGGGGTGGCCAGGGTGGGGGGCATGGGGAAGTGAGGCCCCTGCCCAGGCTAGGTCACACTCACCCCTACCAGGGCAGCTGAGCCCCAGAGCTGGTTGGGCCTCAGCTTTTAGGTAGGGAAACTGAGGCACAGGCTGAGTAGTTCACTCAGGAAATTGGTCTTGGGGCTGTGACCAGTGGGCCCAGAGCCCGTCCCCACTTAGGAAGTCTTTCTCCGAGCCTAAACTTGGAGGAAGAGCCATGACTCCCGTGACATTTGCCGAGTGGCACGCACCGTGTGTCCTGCCTGCTCCCTGTTCTTGGCTGGCCACTGGTCACTGCTGTCCTGGCTGCTGGTTGAGAGGCCTTGTGGAGCCCTCCCAGCTCCTCACGGCTCCTGCCTGTCCAGCCAGACCTGCAGCCTGACTGCACAGAACTATCTTTGTGATCCCTTCCTGGGGGGGCCTACCTTGTCCCTCAAGACATGAGTTCCAATCCCAAATTTGCTCCATCCTGTTCCCTGCTCGTGGCTTCCTCAGATGTGACATGGGACAAGAAGCCCTCCTTGCAGGCTCCTGGGAACTGTTCAGGGAAAGTGGTCCCTGGAGTTGGCTCTCTGAGCCCCCAACCACCCCCAGGGTCTAAGCTTGTGTCCCGCGGGTCCCCTCGCGGCCTGGTTCAGTCTCACTGGCTGACAGACTCCCCTGTGAGGGGAGGGCACAGTGAAGCCCGTCATGTGTCCCCCTGGCTCTCCTCGTCAGGCTGGCCAGTGAAAGGCAGGAGGCTTTGCCAAGAGGCTCAGGAGTCTAATCTCAGCAGGCTTCCTGGTGGTGAGAGAGCTCTCAGGGGCCAGGAGCAACAACTTGTTCTTCCAACATGGGGATGAGTCCCAGAGCCAAAAGGGACGAGCATGGCAAGGTGGCCAGGCAGGATATCCCTCTGCACCGAGGTGTGCCCTGGAGGTTGGTGGGGCTCCCAGGGAGTGGCAGTGGGAGACGTGCCAGGCATGCCCTCTCTCCCAAGCTCCTTTCCCTCCTGCGACCTTGACCTTGGGGCGAGTGACTGCAGTGATAAAAATAGACCTGGTATCCGGTGAGGAGGGGGAAACCGGGTCCCAGGAGGCCTCCTGACCTCAGGTGGCTCTCTGATGTGGCCTCAGTGAACACTCAACACCACCACCGTGTCCCCAGGCTGTGCTGGGGTGGGGGCTGCCCGGGGCTTGTGGGTGGGGTGTGTAAGACCCAGGTGTAGGCAGGGCCATGTGAGTGACAGCGCCCCGCCTTGAGGTCTCTGTGAGGGGCAAGCATATGTAAACACTTGCAGACACACACGTGTGTGAACACCCACAGGTACATCTTACACACATACACACACAGGCGCGGGTGCGTGCACATGCACACACTCCTATGGATACGCTCTCATGCTGACAGAAACCCACGCTCACTCATGTGGACAGCCTTGCCCACTGAGCCCCAGGCCTGCTGGGGGGTGGCAAAGCCAGCCTGGTCAGATCTGCTGGCTTCAGACACATCCATCCCGGACCAAGGACATCAGGTGGGCTACCCTGGGCTGGGGACTCAGGGCACCAGGCCAGCCTTCTCGCCCTTCCCCAGATGTGGCCCACCAGCCATCAGGGTCTGGGCACACGCGGACCCAAGGCCCTCAGCTCACACAGGCTGGGAGGGGTGAGGAGGCAGGAAGGTGCCAAGGTAGATGGCAGGAGGTCATGGGGGCAGAAGCTGGGATGCTGGCAGGGGGAGATTGCCAGCCTCCTGGCAAAGCCTCCTGGCTTTCACTGGCCAGCCCGATGGGGAGAGCCAGGGGGACACATGGGGCAGCCAAGAGGTTGAGGCCTGGGCTGTGTCCATGGAGCGTGCAGGTGGAGATCTGGCCCCACCCTCTGAGCCGGGCACTCAGAATCTTTGCGGTCTCCTTTCAGATCGAGTTTACACCGGAGCAGATTGAAGGTAAGTGAGGATCTTGAGCCCAGGGGCTGCAGGGTTGGACCCGGGGCCCCCAGTCTGAGAATCTGGCCATTGTGGGGTGAGTGGGGCGGACTCTGGGAGTGTCCACAGTTCACACCCTCTCCCGGCAGAGTTCAAGGAAGCCTTCACGCTGTTTGACCGCACGCCCAAGTGTGAGATGAAGATCACGTACGGGCAGTGCGGGGACGTCCTGCGGGCGCTGGGCCAGAACCCTACACAGGCCGAGGTGCTCCGTGTCCTAGGGAGACCAAAGCAGGAAGGTTGGTATGCGTTCGTGCATACAGACGCAGGTCTCAGGCCTTGCTGAGACGGTAACAAGCAGTGAGTTTGCGGAACCATCCCGCACCATGCTCATTCGCCACCCAGCCTCAGTGACCACCTCCTGGTCTCCGCCGCGTCTCTCTGGCGTTCAGGGCCAGCCTCCCTCGCCACTTCTGCCACAAGAGGGTTGCCAGCTTTGCCCCAGGGAGGCGTGGGACCCAGGCCCCCTCCACAGGTTGCAAAGTCCCAGGGAAGGTCTCTGATTGGCCCCACTGCTCCTGAGCAATCCCCGGTGGTGGTGAGGGTGGGGTCTATAAGAAAACCAGCAGCAAACTGTCCCTGTGAACAGCAAACGGTTACGTAAATGATGCATGTCTCGCTTGACTGTAGAGTGCCCTTGATGGGGATGTGGTTTGTAAATGGCCAGCTGGTGTAGAGTGCTTTGGGACTGTGTGAGGGCAGTAGCTCTGCACTCTGCCGCCCCGGGGGGAAGGCTGTGCCCGTCCTGCCCCTCAGAGCGGCCGTACCTCCCCAGAGCTCAACACCAAGATGATGGACTTCGACACCTTCCTGCCCATGCTCCAGCACATCTCCAAGAACAAGGACACGGGCACCTACGAGGACTTTGTGGAGGGGCTGCGGGTCTTCGACAAGGAGGGCAATGGCACGGTCATGGGCGCCGAGCTTCGCCACGTGCTGGCCACGCTAGGTGAGGGCCCCCTTCTCCTCACCCCCACTCCTCCTTTGGGGGGGCATCCTGGGCAAGACCCCTCTGTCACCCCCTGAGCCCGTATCTGATCTGTGAAAAGGACAGAGTGACACGGTCAAGGGGCCTCCATGGCAGGTGACAGAGATGTGGGGAGTTTAGAAGTTTAGGTAGGGACAAAGAAAGTGTGTTGGTGCAGCTCACGGAAACGAAGGGGGATGAGGACAGCTCTGGGGACAGGGTCGGGGGGCGGGGGGCAGTGTGTGCATCCAGCAGGACCGGTTCAGTCCTGGTGTTCATGGTCTCAAGGTCAGATTCCAGGACAGAGCAACGAAGTGGCCCAGTAGGTAAGGGGCCTGCCTCTTGAGCATCCTGACCCCATCATCTGGCTGACTGACCCCCTTCTCAAAGGAGATTTTCGTACAGAAATGTTTATTGAGCACCTACTATATCTGCTCAAAGCAACTTTTCCCTGCACCAGACATTAACTGAACTCCTGCTGTGTGTCTGGCCCTGGGCTGGTCTCTGGGGTTTTGTGTGTGTGTGGCTGGGGGTAGGAGGTCACCCCCCATTCCAGTGGGGGGACCAGTGCAGCACGCAATACCCAGAGGCAGGAAAGTGGCAGACTTGTCTGGAGAACAGAGTTGTTGTCTCCTTGTCTCTTCCACCATCATCCCCCAAGGCCCTCAGCTCCGCCCCGTGGGCCCTTCCTCTAGCCTCAAAAGGCTGCCCCGAGGGACTGTTTCCAGGGACATGGCGGGCCTGGCCTCCTCTTGATGGAAGGGGTCCCCAGCAGCCTGCCGAAAAAAGGGGACAGTGTGTGCTGGGGACTTGAACACCAAGCTGGTACTCTTATGGACAGAGCCCAGGCTCGGAGGGGGCACCAGTCCTGCACCCCAGGTCCCCCCCTTTTTGACTTGTCATTGATTCTCCTGGTCTCAGAAATGGGGGTGATGGCCAAGGCCTTGTGAGCTGGGATGGCTGTGCCAAAGTGAGGTGTGGGAGTTCTAGGGAGGCATCCCATCGTCCAGAGGGGCTCTGTGCTACCCCCCCCCCACTTCGTACCCTTCCCGCGGTGCTGACTCAGCCTCCCGGGCCAGGTGAGAGGCTGACAGAAGATGAGGTGGAGAAACTGATGGCGGGGCAGGAAGACTCCAATGGCTGCATCAACTATGAAGGTGCGCTCGCTCGGCAAGCTGGGGGCTGGGGGGGGGGCACTGGGACCCTGGGCTCCTGCCCGTGGCCACCTGGGGCTCAACCCCTGCCACTCGCTCTGCCCTTCTTTGCAGCCTTTGTGAAGCACATCATGGCCAGCTGAACCTCTCGTCCCAGGTGAGACCTCCACTCCTTTCCAAACCTGCTGCCACCTTTGCGGCCTCCGCCGACCTCAGCTGTTGTCCCCTCACGCCCCAGCTTCCAGATCCCGCATTGCCACCTCCCCATCTCCACTGACTCCAGCTCTCAGTTGACGCCCCGCTGTCTCGCCCCATCCCATCCACTGTAACCCGTGCCCACCTTTACTCTCAGGGAGAGCCCATGCTGGGGATGGTTCATCTCCCACTCATGGTGCTGACACCAGCCACCTGGAGTTGCGGGGAGGAGGGGAGCGCATCGAGACCCCTACAGCAGCCCCCTCCACCGGCCCTGCAGACCTCTGGGTGCCTGTCATCTCCCCCTATGAGCTGTGCATCTCTGTCCTCACCCCTTGGGCCTCACGAATAAATGGCATCTTTCCTTCCTTTTTCCTTCCTTCTTTCTTTCCCTCCCTCCTTCCTTCCTTCCTTCCTTCTTCCTTCCTTCCTTCTTTCCTTCCTTCCTTCTTCCCTCCCTTCCTTCCTTCCCTTCCCTCTCTCCTTCCTTCTTTCCCCTCTGTGGCCCTTTGGTTGATTTCTGTAAAATCTATGAGCCCCACATGGTGAGCCCTGGACAAAATGAGGGGAGTCATGCTGAAATCCTGCCTCCTTGCTCCCCCTCAAAACTATCCCAAACCCTCCGAGCCTGCCCACCAGGACACTGGGGTAAGAGCAGGGCTGAGCTGGAAGAGGGCTGGGTGCCCCTCCCTTGCTCTTGTCCTCCCCTTCTCCCTTCAGGTGGTGGCACCACCAGCAATCAGGGATCCATGGGGCATTGGCCCAAGGCTGCCCATGTCACAGGTGGGGAAACTGAGGCCCAGAGCAGAGAATGGCCTTACCTGAGTCACCCTGGGAATGAATGGCAGGGCGGGAGCTAACTTTGTCCCCAGGCTGTCAGAATTGAAGGGGCCTTAGACTCCCGACTGGCTCAGATGAGGAAACTGAGGCACTGTGCCTGTGATGTGGCTGTAGGCCAGAGGAAGAGGCTTTACTGGGGCAGTATCCGGGGTCCCCAGTGGGTTCCCTAGCCCCGGGCTTCTCAGCAGAAAAGTGTGCGGTCCCTGAAATGACAGAAGGAGGTACATACACCTCCCGCAAATCCCTGCCCCATTGCCCACACTCTGCTCGTTGCGGGGGTGCGGGGGGAGGCCCTCCCCTCCCCTTGGAGCCCAGTGGGGAGAGTGAGAGGGGCTTCCTGGAGGAGGTGACCCACCATGCAGAGAGGCTGTGGGCCCTAGGGACAGGGGGTGTGGGGGAGATCAAGGGCTCAGAATGGGGAGTGGGCCACACAGGGTAGGAATCGGCCTGCAGGCCAGGAGGACCCAGGTCAGGGCAGCTCCATCAGGGTGCACGCGAGCGCGTCTGCGTGGGAGGGGAGCCTGCGCGAGTGGGTTTGAAGACGAGCACAGCTCGGGCTGCCTGTGGGCATTGGCGTGGTGTGGGGGCCTGCCCGCGAGCGTGTCGGGATCGTGAGTGTGAGAGTGTGTGGGGGGCGTGTGCCAGCAATGTGTGTGAGGTTGTATACGCCAGGGGTGTGAGTGTCTCTGCAGGAGGCTGTCTCATCTTCCTTTCATTGTGTCTGAGTCTCTGGAGCACCGACTGAGTGCCAGGCCCTGTCCTAGCCCTGCGAACCCCGAGTGGAGAAAACAGTCAAAACCTCTGCCCTCACGGAGCTCACAAAGACCTGACAAATCACCACCCACACAGCGTGTCAGCAAGCGATAAAGGCTGAGGAGGGACCCAAGTAGGGGAGAGGCCGGGCGTGCGCGTGTGTGTAAGAGCTGGGAGGGGCTGACGTGTTAAATCAGGAGGCCAGGGATGATCGGAGAAGGTAATAGTCAGGCAAAAGACTTAAAAAGAGAGGAGGTAATACCCAGAATATATAAAGGAGTCCTGCAAGTCTACAGCAAAATAATAGACAACCCAATTCAAAAAGGGGGAGAAGACTTGAACAGACATTTCTCCAAAGCAGATCTATAAATGGCCAATTAGCATGTGTGTAGATGTTCGATATCACTAGTTAGGGCAATGCAAATCCAAAGCGCCAGGAGATCCCACTTCACACCCAATTAGGAGGGCTTTTACTCAAGAAACAGGGAGTAACAAGGGTTGTGAGAATGTGGAGAAATCGGAGCCCGTGGGTGCTGTCGGTGGGAACGCAAAATGGGGCAGCCGCCAAAAATGGTGCGGAAAACGCTATGGAGGGTTGTCACAAAATTTAAAACACGTTCCCATACGATCCAGCAATTCCATTTCTGAGTACCTTCCCAAAAGAATTGAAAGCAGGGACAGAGAGATACTCATAACCCCCTGTTGATAGAGCCCCAGGGTGGAAAAAGCCAAGTGCGCATCGACGGATAAATGGATCAACAAAATGTGTTCTACACAACGGCCCATTCTCCAGCCCCGAGGAAGGAAGGACATTCTGACACTTGCTACAACATGGATGGACTTTGAGGATATTATGCCAAATGAAATAGGCCAGACCCAGACGATACAGTGTGACTCCACTTAAAGGAGGTACCTTGGGTCATCGAATTCATAGAGGCAGAAAGTAGAATGGTGGTGGTAGGGGGCTGGAGGGCAGGGGCGAGTGGGGAGCTGTTAAAGCAGAGAAACAAGCAAGAGACGAGAGATGGAGTGTCTTAGCTGTGCTTCCCCAGAAGCAGGGCTGAGACTGAGCTGGAATGCAAGTCGTCTCCCCAGGAGGTGACCCCAGGGAGCATGGGAGAGCCACTGGAAGGGAAGGAAGTCTCCACGGGGGCCCGGGAGCAGAGAGCACTGTGGACAGGGGGGCCTGGCCCCGTTGGGCACCTCCAGGAGACTTGTCCTGCTGAGGGGATGAGGAAACCAGACTCTCCAGCTCCTCAGGTCTTCACCGGTTGGGGCAGGGCCTCCTAGGCAGGCTGGAACGTTTGTTCGTATGGGGCACTTCAGCATCTGCTCTAGGCATCTGGGTGGGCGTCGAGGGAAGACATTCCTTCTGGGGGCACAAAGGCCGCTGAGATGGGGGCAGACAGCGCCATGGGGAGGTGGCAGGGCCTGAGTCCCAGAGGTGACCGAGGGCCTGTGGCCACGGCAAGGGCTTTGGCATGTGCTGGGGGGAGACTCTTTATCGGCATCACTCTGGCCGCCAGGTGGAGGGAGAGTAGACTGCGGGGCGCGAGCAGAAGCAGGGGGACGAGGCAGGAGGGTGCGGGAGAGAGAAGCAGATGCGTGCTTGGCCCAGTGGAGATGAGAAGCGGTCAGATTGCAAGTCCCTTTGAAACCAGTTTTAGCAACATCGTGGGCCAATTTTGAGGCTTTCGAGGCCTTCTGGTTCCTTTCCTTGTCTCCACACAGTCCACTCCAGCCCCAGATACCCTTCGGGGCGGCAGGTGAGGGACTGCAGGGTCTGCTCGTTATGGTGCAGAGTCCCGCTGGCTGGTTGGGCAGGGAACAGAGGCACGTGTGGCCTTGCTGGACTCTGGCGAGCCTCCCTGGACAACTGGGGCTGGGGACCCCCACAGGAAAGCAGGACCTCCCTTTGGTCCCAATCAGGGCGGGGAGCCTCGTGAGGGACTGATAACCTTCTGGGCAGTCCCCCCACTTCCTGCCTGCCCCCTTCCCCCCTCCCCATTCCTGCCTGCCCCAGCCACTTCCTTCCTGGAACGGCTGAGCTCCCTGTCAAAAGTCCCCAGGGACCACATGGGACCGGGAGGTCCCAGCCTTCTCTTTCTGGGGATGCCCACCCTGGGCTGGAGTCCTGCGGGCAGGGGGTTGCACCTGTCCTGTCATCTCCAGGCAAGAAGGGACCCTGCCTCCGAGTTCACGTATGTCCCGGATCCCCGGGGATATGTGCTCTCTCAAGGATGCTTGTCCCTGCTCTGGTTTTCAGGATGGTCCGGCAGTGCTCCCAGGCTCCCTTGGTTCCCGGAAGGGAGGCGGAATCCCACACATTCCCCCAAGACACTCTGCAGCCCAGACTGGCCAGTCATCCTCTGCGGACTGCGGAGGAAGGGGGGGAAAGGCTGGAGGTGGCCCGGTCAGGGTACGTGGGGGCTGTTGTGTCTGATAAGCTTGGGCTGGGGCGGGTTGGCCCCACTTGTTGGGGCTCTACTCCACTTGGAATAGGTCTCTGTCCCAGCCACGGTTACGTGGCCCCTCTGGGGCCTTGTGCCTGTTGTATATGGCTGTGCTGATCCCAGGGGGGCCGTCGTTCCTGGGCTCAGGTCACTGGCTGTAGGTCCAGGTGTCAGAATGGATGGGTGGAGGGACCCCGAGGGTGCCACTCGGCTGCAGGGGTGAGTGGTTTCCTCACTCCGCATCCCTCGTCCCCCACCTCTCCTGGGTGGAATGCACATTTCTGTGTGTCCCCGTGTGTTTGCGGGTGCACGTGCCCACAGGTGGGCCTGTGTGTCTCTGCGTGTGAGTGCATCAGTGGGTGCGTGAGCTGCCCGCGCGCATACCTGTATATGTGCGTGCCGCTGGTCTGTGCATTTGCACGAGTGTGTGTACCTCTGTGTGTGTGCATGTCTGTGTCTGTTGGCATGCGTGTCGAAGCGTGTACGTGCTGGGGGGCTCTGCTGAGTCAGTGCTGGTGCTGAGCGGGCAGCCCTGCCAGCCGGGCTGTGGCCTCCCCACAGTTGCATAAACACTGTCCCAGCTCCCCCCTCAAGCAGGGTGGTCCAGCCTGTGGCCCTGTGGCCGGTGGAAAGGGATCGGAGGGCGCAGAGGTTGGTGCCCCTGTTAGCCTGGTCCCCTCCGTGCCTCGAGGGCCAGGGCCCGTGCTCTGTAAGGTGGGGTCCAATCTGGGGTCTCTCTATGCCTCCCTTCCCCCATCCGGTCTGAGGCCTGATCTCTGAGGTCTTTCTAAGATGGCAGGAATATTCACCTCTGGTTTCAGTCCTGGTCCAGGCTGATCCAGAGGGTCAGCAGGGCAGCCCAGGGAAACTGGGGGCCAGGGACGGAGGTCAACCTCAGGACCCCAGAATCAACTGTCCCTCCTCTGCTCCAACATCCCTGCTTGGCTGCTTCTGGCTCTCGGCGGCCTGCTACACCCTGCAGCTTCTCCCCAGATGCCATCCTCAGGGCTCAAGGGGTCACCCCTGGGACATGGAGCAGATAGCACTTAACTGGGGGGCCGAGAAGGCCAGACACTCAGGCCGAGGTAGAATGAAGTCAGCCAGGGTCTTGAAGACATCAAGTATTAGAGGAAGATCTTCCTAGGTCACGAGAAGAAAGGAAATCAGACTGCGGGTATGAGAAACTGGGCGCTAGGGCCCAAAGTGCTCCGCGGCAGAGGGGCTGACAGAAAGCTGATGACCATCTTAAGAGAGCTCGGGGGTGGAGTAAAAGGGTCCAAGCCACGGGTTGTATGAAGTCAGAGGCAGGGTGGGGTGGGCTGCAG